GCGGGAAGCCCCGAAGGAAAAGCGGCAGCCGGTGGCCCTTGCAGAGTCACCTGCATCTCGCCCACAGAGCTGCTGCTTGCCCATGGGCCACCTCCTGCAGCCCCGCACCCCCCGGAGCACAGTGTCAGCAGAGCTGGGTGAAACGGAGCAGGAGCCACTAAGAGCAAACCATTCAGAAAGCTCCAACCACTCTTGAACACAACATCATGATAGACGTTTTCACCCAAGCACTGGCCAAATGTCTCACTCCTGCCTGCCCCAAAGGATTTCATCTGGATTTCTCTCCTCCAAACACCTTCCAGTGCTGGGGTGAAGCTGGGCCAGAGCTTCTTCTGCCTGAAGCTATTTACAAATGCAAGTGCCCCATTAGTACACACCTCTCAGACCGTCTCCACTAAGTCTCCTCCAAGTTGAAGAACACAGAAATGGATCTGCAAGGGACTGAATTACTAAAATGTGAAGGATTGGTGAGGGATATTTTATTTTCTCTGAAATAAATGATGAGCAGAAGAAGCAGAGTCTCTGGAGTACGTCCTACCTGAGGCATGTAGGAGCTCCTGCAAGCAGCTACCCCAGCACCTCAAGCCCAGGACTTTGCCACCAGCTCCTCATGCTGATATCTGCAAGCACGTGATGGATGAGCAGGTTGCACCATGCTCACTCTCACCTCCAGAAACCCACCAGCAGGACAACCAAGGGCAGGGCTCATCTTTTAGCCAGGAGCTCTGGTAGTGACACCAGAGTCCTATTGCTTCTAGCACTTAAAATTCAGGCCAGCACTGAGCTGGCCTGTGTCAGGTGGTGGAGAAGCTCAAAGCCCTGCTTGCTAATTTATCCAGCATCCCTGAGCTACCTGAAGATGCGCAGGAGGAACAACACGTTGTATCCAGCCCGGAGATCCCCACGCTGTGGTGTGCCAAGGCTGCAGGGAATCAAGCAGCCAGGCTCTCCCGAAACGCTCCGTCGCTGCGTGGCAATGAAAGGCAGCGGAGCGGGTCCCGGCTGCAGCTCTTTGGGGCTCTTCCCATCAAAACACCTCATGTACCTCCCACTGCTGCCCTAGAGCCCCACCAGCTCTGCGCTGCTCTATTCGCTCCACGGTCTGCTGAGCCAAAAGGATCAGCATCTCCACCCTGGCAGAGGTGAGCACTTGTCCCTGCCTATGTGACTGGCAGCAGGAGCGGGTTTCTGCCCTGGCAATGCTCCTCAGCCCCAGGAATTAGTCCGTTCTTGAATGACACCCTCCTCGAAATGTGAGTTTCCAAATGTGCATCTGCGAAATTCAAGTGCAACCTTTGATTTCCCCTGGAGCGTTAACAGAGGGTAGGAAGTATGTATGCCCCACGGACCTCTCCACGGCTGGCACAGGGAGATAATCAGACCTTCCTCCTCTCCAAATTCAACTGCTACTCAGGGTCCTGTTCCCATCCATCCCTGGCTCGTCTCAGCTCCGAGCACCAGCCACGAGCTCGACGGCGACCCGAGGGTGACTGCCTGCATTTGCACCCTCTTCCTCGCTGGCGCGGCACTTACAGAGCACTCGGCTGTCCCACCACGACGGGCACATCATCGTGATGCAAGGAACAAGAGGGTGGCATTGTAAGAAAGAAACAACAACAAACAGTAATAATAATTTTCCCAGTGCTTTGGCAGCAGCTGTAATATCAGCAGTTGTAAAAATCTGTTCATAAATAATGCAAAATTGTTATTTACCGTCAGAAATAGCAGCAGCATTTATAAAACAGGCCCTGGAAGAAATAATGTGATTCTGGAAAACATGAATAATTGAGAACCTCTGGCTCCACGGGATTATTTCTCTGGCAGGCCAGTGAACTTGTACTCAGCTTCTCCGATAAGTAGTTTACTGAGTCCTCCCAGGATTAACCACCTGGACTACTTCTCCGTCGTGCTTTGGGGTGCCAGTTTCAGGGGGCAACACAGGGTGCCCGGCTGCCCGCGCGCAGGTTTGCACATCTGGAGCTGCCGACGGAGGATGCCCAGGCAGCGCGTCTGGGATGGAGAGGGAAAGAACAGATGTTTCACTGCCGAACTTCAAACTCCAGAGGAGTTTGCTCCAAAGCATCTTTCTTGGGGCTGGATGACCTGAGCAACTCACTCTGTGAGACACCCTCAGCGAGGTGCTGCCCGCAGCGTTTCGGTGCCACCGGCAGCGTTTCGGTGCCACCGGCAGCGTGGCACACACGGCTTCTTCTCGGGAGGCCAAAATAGTAACGAATTGCAAGTGCACACATTTGATAGATGCACTCAAAACATCAGCGCTGGCTGAAATACTCCCATCAAAACATGCTTTCCAGTGCAAACAAGTCTTTCCATGGGTTTTCTCCCCCTCCCTCCATGATAGAAATGTTATAGTTTTTCTTAAAAAAAAAAACAAAACACAACAACTGGTGCTGGTAAAACATTGTAATGAGAATAGACTGGGCGTTGTCTTTCTAAGTATAGGTGAAAAAAAGACATTTTGAGAAAATGTGGGTAGATGGGGGAAAATAAAACCCACTTTTTTTTCCAAAAGTTCATGAAAAACAATTTTCCAACCACCTCTACAAGCTGCACTTGCTCAAACCCACAATCAGTTCATCAGAGACTTGAAAGCAATAACAGAAGGTGAGATTTTCCAGTGCAAGAGAGATTCTACAGGTCCTGGGCAAGGATGCAGGGGTCCTGCTCTCCAGGGGTGCTCCTCTGACTCCCACCTCTTCCTGCTTGTCAGGTCGGTCCCCAAAACCGCAGTCCCCATGACCGGGCAGGGCTGTGACAGCACTCGGGACCAAGTGCCAAGGTCGCTGGCACGCACAGCATGGGGGCACCTGCCCTGCAAGCCACTGTGTCCCATGGCCATTCCCCTTCTAACAGCTCTTCTCCATATCTCACAGGCTTTGTGAAGGAACCTCACCGTTCACAGGACACTCTGTTTTCCAGATGAACAACCCAACACAACCAGCAACAAATTTTGCTCTCACTGGGTGAACCGGTGCAAGACTCAGCAAGAAAACTGGACTACCTCCAGCCACCCCAGTATGAAATCGCATCCCACCTGCCAAAGCTTTCACATAAATCTGCTTGGAGCTCGGGGTCTCCTGGCCAGCAGCCTGGTGTGCAGGTTGCCCAGCCCCCTGCCTCTGCCTGGTGTC